CAACAAATTGAAGTATACAGTATTACCGCGATTAAGTGTTGCTGGTGAATACTCACAGCTACAAGCTGCCTTCTTCATCAACGCATGAGACGCAAATCAAACTGGTTGTCTCTCAGCCTGCTGGTGACATCATCGGCATGAAATTGATCTTTATTGTTATTGGACATGCACAGAAGTACAGAGCATTGAAATTGACTTGACAGCCACAACCCATCCAAGAAACATGAAAACAGCGACCAAGAGAGCAAGACAGAATAGGAAAGTTCATAGATTCCCCACTCATGGTGCCCTGAGTTCTGAGATTGAGAAGAGAATAGACTAGGAAGGGCGAAGTGGGGAACAAAGCGTGAGGTATGATCCTAAAAAGGGCCTTAGTGTGAACCCAGAAAACCTCAGCACACACGACATAGACATTATAAAAGCGCTCTAAGGCATTTGGTCGGAAGGGAGGGAAGAAAGGGTGGGAGAGTGTGACCCCAAAGCGCCCCTTCTCGAGCAGCCAAGCCACTTCAAGGCTCGCGCATCTGCCGCGCACCTTGGCCATCCCGGGGAGGAGAATGTGGGAGCCAGCATAAGGCGGTGAATTAGGGTTGTGTATGCAGTATGTATGTTGTTGTGGATCTGTGTGCGTGTCTGTATCCCAGCTGGTAAGCATAATGTCTTGTTGCCGTGAAGTACCGTACTTTTCAGCGAGTGATGCTAACTACATGAACTACATTGTAACTAGCGATGGTAGAAAACAAGTTACCTTGCAGCTGAGCAAAGGGACCATGGTTCAAATTTCAGTCATGAATGGTTTCGACAAAGTACAATGGACTTATGTGGCCTAGAAATGTCTGTGTGGATGGCGTACAATTGTGTCGACAATGCCTGGGGGGCAAAAAATGTTGAGCATCTTTGTTATGGGTGGACTTTTCCCCCCAGTCCTAATCGCATGCCTGATGCTGCTAACTATGTTCTATCGATGGTAGATAAATGTTACTTGGCAGTTGAGCAATGCGGTGGATTGCTGGCTTTGACACAGATGAACACATTTCAAATTCATCCATCCATCCATCCATTTTCTGATCTGCTTATCCTCACAAGGGTGCTCCAAACAGTGGAAATCTTTTTTTTTTTTTAAACAGAAGCTAATCTAATTAACACTGTTAAAACCCTGGTGATGTGGCATCTGATTGATATACTGTACATTGTATTTACACAATAGTGCATCTGATGTTAGAGTTGACCAACATCATCCGGCAGTGGCGGGCCGTGCATTTCAACCTTAGGCCTTCAGTGACGTCACATACATGAACACAATACTGTCTAGGCTCATCAAGCAGCACTTAATTTCAGGAGCATTTAAAACCATCAAGTATGCATTCACAATTAAGAGCAGGAAACTAAATTTACAGATAGTCAAAAATAAAAAGATTATTTAAAAATACGAAATAAAATGCCACCCAAATTAGGCTGTGTGATCTTAAACAAGTCTGTCCAATAAATTGCACAATGTCGCAGTTTCATATGACACCAACCAAACAATAACAAAAAAACTATTCTTTGAAAATAAACAGATCATTTGCATTTTGAAAATCGGCGATGTAACAGCAAATA